TAATGGTAATATTTAGACAACAAATTATTTTTAAAAAGTTTTTAAGATGTTATATCTTCTTTTTTTTCTGTCCTTTGGTGATTTCAATGCTTCTGATCAAAGTTGTTCACCACTTGTCACTATTATTCTTTGTTAATCGTTAATTAAACATCTTTTGAGTTAAAAGAATTCATAGTTATAAACTTTTATAACCTTGTTCTGATGATTTTACTTTGAAAATTAAGGTTATAGGGCCTATGAGGTCTGCTCTATATTGTACTAAAAGTTTTTCAAAGCCAGTTCACCTGCCCTTAATGTACCTTTCAGCAGAAGGGGATATTATTTAATCATCTTGAAGTATTCAGGCACAAAAATGACAGGCAAAATCGATTTCAGCTTCAATGTTTCTTTCGTTGACTCCTTCGGTTTTAGTTGAAGAAAACATTCTGTTTCAAAGCAAGCATTTCAAAAGAATATTTTCAGTCTTCTCTTGATCCAGCCCATCTCCCAGTGTGTCTACAGGTACAGCAATTAAAATAAGTTATTGGAGCGTGGGAAAAAATCGCATCATTTTTGCATTAGTCTCTTTGATAACTTGGGCTTTTGTAGGTAAAATAACTTTCCATCAGAGTAAGTACAGGGTGGATTCTTCATTGCCATGATCATTACTTGGTCCTTGGCTTCTAAGGACCCTTTTTTAAAACAATTGGATTTCCTCAGCCCCAGTACTTTTAAACTGCTAACTCAATCAAAGTGAAGAAAACATGTTAGCTTATTTGACTAGTGCAATTCATGAATCATTTTGGACTCATGGCAATTGGTTTCGTGCAAGTCAAATTCTTGAAAACACAAAAATATTTTCCTGATATTATGATATGCCTTCATTTGAATCTATATCCAATACAGCTGAGACTGGTGTGACTAGTAGGTACCAGGCAATGAGTAATGTTGCTTTGATTAGTTTAATTGCTTATGACTCAGTTGAATCAGGCCAGTACTGTTCCCATACAGAGTCATACCCACTTGTTTTATGGAAGCTACAAGTAACTGTGCTAAGTCTCCATTCTTACAGTGCACATGTCCCTTTATTAGGTTTCTCAAACAGTGTTTGTGACCCAATCTCTCCATTTCAAAGAATGTACTAAACCAGCAAGCTTAATGAATCAATTTATTTGGAAGGAAAGCCATGTTCTCCTGGGAACATCTTGTTCTTGGCTTTCCCAAATGCGTTCCTTCTTTTTATTTCATTGTATGAGAGCTTAAAGAGGGGTTGTCATGTTCTTTCTCCAGTTATTCTGCATCCATGCAACAAAGGAAAGAGCCCTACCATCTATACTAGATGACAACCCAACTCTTACTTATTCCTTTAACAAGGGAAAGCAGAGTTAATTTAGTCTGGTGTTTAAAGACTAGCAGGAGAAGTTATCTGCTTTCTCCTTCACTGTAGGTGTCTGCTATAGCAATAAGTGTCTTAAAGCAGCAGGTCTAGACAAGCTTAAAAGGTGCATGGCATGAATTCTTTTCTTTTTGAAACTTTGAGAAGAACTGGGGGATGGCAGGGGACCTTAAGTACGTGACAGTCAGAAATACTATTTTGCAGAATCATGAAGATGCAGTACTAGGGAGAACATTTTTCTATATTGAGACAACAAGCATCTTGTAAGAAAGATGCTTGTTTGTGGGTCTGCTTTTTGTATTGATATTGGTTCACCTACTTATTTTTTATTTGTTCTAGAAACATTGGAAATATTTTAATTTTTATGATGATCACTATGAGAAAAAAATTTGCTTGTACAGAATAGGTGGAATGCATGCAATTAGCTCTATGTCAGCAGAAGGTAGCAGACGATTTTCTGTAGGAAGTATAAAAAGAAGAGGTTATTTTACTTGGACATATCTGTAAAAGCAAACCTTCTGATATAAGCAAGTCTGTCACAGGTATCACTTTTCCTCTTCTTTCAGCTGCTAAAAAAATTGAAAAAGAAACAAGTTGCAACAAGAGCAGTTCAATCTTTTAATAGTGGAAAATCAACCAAATGTAGAAAATTCAATATCTTTCGTACTGTATCACAAACACAGTTCATTGTCTTGGCATGATAAACTCCAATGTCAGTCAAGTCTGTATTTGCACAATAATAAGCACAAGTTTTTGTTGCTGCTGTTGCATTGCTATTTTTATCAATTTCCTCACATAAAAGACAGTGTGTTTACTTCTTCAATGCAGAACATAATTGTTTGGACATTATCTAGCATTTTACAATTAATTTTACTCTCTTATCTCCTGTCTACCTTTGTCAGCTTTGCCAAATATTTCCTCAGAGAGTTGGAGCTTTACCACACATAAATCTCCTGCAATCAGCAGAGTCCAAACTTCTGTCTTTTTTTGAATAAACAAAGTGATGTTAACAAGTCAGTGGACAAAGACCAGTGCTTTCAATGATTGTATAACTAGTATGAACTGTTGAGTTTTGATGTCTTAGTATCTCCTTTCCCAGGCAGATATTTACATGCCGGGGTAATCCAACATAGCAAAATATGAGTAATGCAGAGGAATAGATATCATCAAGCCTATAAATGTACAGAGAATTCAAAACATTAAACACCATGAGTGAGTTATTCTTTGTGGAAGAGTACAGATTTCTAAAATGCAACAGCAAATCCCTTAATTAGTTCAGGAATTAATACTATTTGACTAATGAATAATAATTCTTGGAACATGATGTGAAATTCCATTGAATGGTACTGTGAGAAAATAAATTTCAAATAAATTTGAAATTTAAACTGCATGGAGATCAGTCCCTTTAAGCATGAGTTCTGATCAGTTTAAATATGTCTCCAGTGTGTAGGGTAAAAAGCTTGACAGGGTAAGCACAACTGATCTACTGCTTCTATAATGGATTGTAGAGTAAGAGGTTGATGGTTAGTTTTGGATGTTTTCATCTGTGTTTAATTTTCCCACATTGGTGTCTTTTACCAGACATTTCATTAGCTACTTAGATCATAGCAAATAACTTCACTAAAGGGAACCTCAGTTTCCTGCTCAGCTTTTTGCAGAAAGACACTAAGTACTACACATACCCTGTTTGCTTAACATTATGCCTGCATAAGATTTTTTTGCTACTTGTTTTCTGAGTGGAACAAGTTAATGGTAATGTTCTAAATACAAGTACAGAACAGCATAAATCTTTATGAACAATGTGCAAGTGTGAATTCACCCTGGGATTAGGATGTAGCTTTATTTTTGGTACCTATACATAAAAGGCATAAAGAACTAAGGCTCTTTGAGTAATTGCATGGGTTACACAGTTGTGGATAAAAGCAAATCAACTTTTCAAAATCATATGGTGGTTGTTAGCTGGAACATATAACTTTCTATGCAGGGGGCTTCTGAGAGCACAGGTAATTCTGTACATATGGAAATAATAGGATATTTATCTCAGTTTTCTGCAGCTACTGCTCTTGCATTTCAAACAGTTGTAAAAACACTGTCAAGGGCTTAACTGGAAGAAGGTTTTTCCAGAAGAGACTCCTTAAGAATCTGAAATATTTCATCGAATTTCAGGTGATTTCCCTTAGTCCAGGAGAAAAATGAGTGCAAAAAATCAGATGTTGTGAAAAAGCATACTCCTTTTTAATCTGAGAAAGTTGTGTGAAAGATTAAACTTTGACTTATGAAAATAGCCTGGAAAAAAAGCGGTATGTATCAAAAGTAGCAGATTACTATCTGAATAGGCATCACATCCCAGTTAATAAAGTTTGTATAGAGTATTTCAAGTGCTCTAAGACAGCAATGAAATTTAAAATATAATTTGTATTAGAATTTTTTTTTTGTAACAGCATCCATTAAGTCAAATGATAGCTATAATAAGAAAGTGATATTCCTTTTTGAAAGTACTTCAAAAATGTGAACCGAACAAATTTCATTCTAGAATAATTTAAAATCCTCTCCATAGTATACTCCTGGGAAGAAATTGGTCTTGTATGACAAGAAATCTGAGTTGGCACCCTGCAGTCCATTACAGAAGCTGTAGATCAGTTGTGCTTACCCTGGAAAAAGTGGTCGTGGTAGAATTTGTCCCTCAGGTGCACTGGTGCAACTGGTAAGGCATCAGGCAACTGCAAATGTAGGTGATTGCAGTACAGAGAGCTGAAGGACAGGGGACAGGTAGACGACTCCGGCTGCCTTGGCTGTCCCTCATCAGCGTCACTCTGCCTTTCCCCTCAGCACTGCTTGAATGAAGTCCCGTGTTCTGTGAAACTACTTCCTAAAAAGCATGGGCTTAGCAGAACAACATCTGTATATCTAAACTTCACATTGATAGATTTTAAGCAGTATCTCCACATTTTTTGGACCAGACTGACAACTCTTCCAAAGGATTCATAACGGCATCTTTATGTTGTCTTACTCATATTTCAGCAAAACTGTGTCACAGATCTGATCTTAATTGTCTTGCTCTTTGATCCTTTACCAGTTTACACCTAGAAACTGTTTTAAAATGAGAATTAAATCAAAAATATATGTCTGATTTGTGTAAAAGGACTTCTCTATCTGGGTCTAAAATTTCAGCACAAATGAATATCACAGAATGGTTTGGTTTGGAAGGGACCTTAACGATCATCCAGTTCCAACTGCCCTGCCACAGACAGGGATATCTATAGCTTACCTGGTATATTGTTATAATTAATTAATTTCTAGTGCAAAGAGAAACAATCCTTTAAAATAGTGGACTTAGGTCATTTGTCTTGTATAACTAGCATTTTGATCTTATTAGGAGGATGAATGGGGAGGAATTACCTGTTTGCTGTATATCAAAGGAAATTTTAATTAGCTAACAATATAACAGGGTTTTACCAAGTTTAACAATTATTTCGTATACTAATTGTAATTGAATGTCCAATGAACTAATATTTATTTGTTGATACTCACATTCAAATGTAAATGACTATTTATAAAAGCATAATATCAAATATCTTTAAACACATCACAAAGTAAGCATTTTTTTTTTTTTGTTCCCATTTAGTCATCTGTGACTCTTTGGAAGATCATGTTTCTGGAACTGGGGTCAGGTGCCCCCTGGGCTACTTTCCATGTGGCAACATCACAAAGTGTTTGCCCCAGCAACTTCACTGTAATGGTGAGGATGACTGTGGGAATCGGGCCGACGAAGAAAACTGTGGTACGTGGTTGAGACTTTTCTCTGTGTCTGGCACCTGTAGTCACTGAAACCCATGCACCACTCATCCAAAACAGAAGACTATAGAGTGTTAGGAACAGAAATGTTACATGCTTTGCAGAGGATGCAGCAGGTCTGCTTTAGCTAATAAAACCACCCAACAAGTCATTTGCTAGGTGAGAAGAATGGATCACATTTTTCTGTGTATATGGTATCGGTTTATCCAGTTTTATCCCTGCTTTGAACTTGTTTGCACATGTCATTTTGATGTGTACAAATGGATGTATGTGATCTGTCAAAGATCGCTACTGAGAAGTAAATGTGTGCTCCAACACAGTTTATGTAAAGCTTAATGTGACTTAACGTGGGAAACATAATTTAGAGGAATTGTTAAGGGTTTTCAGAAATCGCTTATGCCCTTATTTGAGATAAACACATCTGTGTGAGTGTATTACACAAGCTGCACTACCAGCAGGCTTTGGGTTTTGAAAATGTAAAAATTTCAGAGAATACACACAGTCAGGTCATTTCTGCATGTTGTTATGATCCTTATCACTTCTGGCCCCTCTGGATGGTAGCTGTGAGCTTGACTTGGCTTGTCAAGTCCTGATCCTACCCTACTGCAAACTGGATAGGATCAGGATATAGGCTTTGCGTGGGCACTTACCCCTGCACGCTGCTTTTTTGTGGGCATGGCCCTGGCACAGCTTTAGTTTGTGCTGAGCCTCATCTCTTCCACAATGTTTGGATACAGCTTAGAGGTGGCACAGACCTGGGATAGTCTGGAAAGGGGCTCCTATATGTTGAGAGAAGAGAGCTTGGCCATTTTGTTGTGATCTAAGACCACGGGGAGAGAAAATCAGCCCTGACACATTTTATTTATTGGTATTGTCATCTTACTAACAGCCTGCATATTTTCAGAGGTACTCTTCAGAGCTGCTGATCCATGGCAGATGGGGAAACTAGGCTTCCTATTCCTTAGTAGTTTGCCTGTAGCCATGGATGATAGCCAGGTGCATGATGCCCTGCCTCACAGGTTGCCTCCAGCTCTCTGGAGCCAAGCAGGTGAACTGTTTACCTGTCCCAGCCAGGCATGTTGCCATCAGATCTGGGTGACAGGAGTGGGATTTTGTAGTTTTATGTCATTTACTGATACTATAAACTTACTTTCTCTTGTAATTAATCAAAATCCTGAACAAAAATTATTCATTCTGTTCTTTTCCTGTAATCATCTTGGCATAAAATGGCAGAAATTGCTGATGGTGTTGCCCTCTTATGTTTAAAAAGTCCAAGGTCCATAAACCATGTTTTATCTATGTTTAATTTCTGTATAATACCACACAGTCTACTGTACAAGGACTTGCTGAAAGCATACAGCTTGATGTAATGCCAGTTAGGATATACACAGTTTTGTAATGGGAAGTACAAGACAGTATAGAATCACAGAATCATTTAGGCTGGGAAAGAACTTTAAGATCATTGAGTCCATTAATCAAAGAGAGCTCTTCACTTCTCATCTGTATCATTACTGACACAGAACTGAGGTATTCTTGGATTACCGAAAACAAATTTCAAAAATTCAATTAGGACTAACATGGATTGGCAATGAGCAGGGACAGTGTTGCAAGAAGGGATTTATTACTGAACCCTGAAAAAACAAACAAGCTTCATGAAGTCCTTAGTATTGCCTTAGTGTTCTTCTATAGAAAGGAACATACAAGACAATTCAGCTGCAATATTGAATCCTCTTTTGTGTCTAGTAATTCAAGAATGAGTTAGCCTTGATTTCTGAAAACCTAAATTAAAAAAGATGAAGAGTCATTGTATTGACTTATTGGGAAAACTATACTATTGATGTTTTTCTCATATCTTGACCCCTTATTCTTATTTAGAAATACATGCCATGTATAACAGATTAATGTAATATTCAGCAGTAATATTTTCTCAAAAATTGGTATTGCAATCAAAATTCATTGTTTGGTTAAAGGAAGAGTCACTTCCTTTCCTGAAAATATGGAATGTTCTGATGAGATTTTCTGCAATGCCTCTACACTGTAGTAAGTGTGGGGATCTTTGTGGGATAACTCAGTTTTGTGAGTATTCATCTTGCTTAAAATACAAGAAAGGAAGCCTCAGTGATTAGCTCCTGAAACAAAGAAACAATGTCTTTTTTTTTTCCCCTGAAGTTTCCCAGGACCACCTCAGCATGACTGGTTTGTACCAGCAGTTATATCTGGCTCCTTCTACCTATTTTTTAAGTTTACAACTAGTTTTCAGTTGAAGTCATTACTCCTGGTTATAGAAAAGAAATTAAAAATTAAATTATTCCAGTACAGTAATTGTTTCATGCAGTACCATTAAAAATTTTAATCTCATCCACAGGGTATACTAATTAAGTAGCTCAACTTTCAAATTCCTGAACACTTTTTCATCAATTTGAATGAGAACTTTGAGGTGGCAAATCTACAAGGTTCAACTCAACAAGTGTGGGAAGGAAAAATGAGTGTAGACCCTCAAAGGAATTAAGAAATACTTTTTTTTTTTTTAATGTGTGTATCTCAAACAAAGCTAGATAAACCAACTGCTTTACTAACAATTTCTTTGGTAATGATAAAGCACAGTAAAACCAGTATTATAATATAAGGAAAAAGAAAGTAAAAATATGTCACAGACTGTAGTTCTTCCTGTGATGGAAAGAACAATATGTCGAAGAGGAAAAGGAAAAAAAAACCACTTCTTTTGAAAATATAATACTGCTGTTTGAAAACAAAACAAAACAAAAAAACAACAGATGCTCTAAACACAAGAAAATTCAATATCCAACCGTTCAATAGAAGCCCTTAATTGTGCTGAATATTAGCAGCAACTGCAATTACTGAAATAACAGTTATAAGAAACATCAGTGAATGAAATAAGAAGAGAAGCAACTAGCATAAAAAGCACATGTAGGTCTTTCAAGAGAGTTACTTTATAAAACTGTTTGAATACCCTTGAAACAAAAAGGCAGCAGTGCAAAAGAGACCAACATTATAGGAGCCTCTGAAAATAATGAAACATGTCACTCCAACTATCTTGTAGCAAGTCCATCCCTTTTTTCTCTTATTTAGGAAATTTGTCTCATTCCCCTCTTCATTCCTATAGAAACATTTATTTTTGTAATCTTTGAGATAATTTGCAGTATTAATCCTGTTTCAGGCACTGTGTGTGCCTGGTAACAGCAAAACATCATTATAAATATTTCAAACTAAACCAAATCCTCAGTGAGAGATGTGTGCTCAGACGTGCTGTAATCACTGTTCATATCCAGCCTCAGCACATAAAGATTGGCTTTGTGGTGTTCTCTTCAATTCTGCTTCCTCTTTCACTTCCACAAGGTCCAGAGAAGTGAAATGACCTCAAATTACAACCACAGGTAGAGCTGAGAAGAGAATCTAGATCTCAGACTGCTGTGTTAGTGCTTAACCTCAGGGTGTGGACGTTGGGAGGCTCTCCTTGATCTATTGCTGGATAACCTCAAATGTGCATGGAAAATACAATCTTATCTTTTTAACTTGAAAACATAGTCCATCAAGTAGAAGTGAGTGTCTCTGCAAATCTGTCATGATAATAATATTTCTAAATAAAAATAATTTATTTAAAGTTTTGTAAATTGTCATAAAGCTCAAGGTTTTGAGGAATTTCCTTTTTTAGACTTTAGTGTGGCAGTAAATTTTTCTCTGATATTCTGCTTCATTGTCATCCTTGTTGAAGCACCAAGTTCTTAATTAGGCTGAGGGTACTGTGAAGCAGTTAGCCTGTATCATACTTCACCTGGAGTTATTTTTGTATCTGTCAAAAAAATTCAAAATGTGCAGGAAAAAAAAAAGATATAGCAATTCCAGCATCCTTCTGTGCCCAAGCTTGTTTAAGGATCAAGCTTGGCAAAGCAGAGGAAGTTTGATATTGTTTTGTCCTACTGAGACTAGATTTGATTTCAAACATAATGGCTCCTGGCTAATTTTCCAAGTAAGAACTTTTTCCATTTGTTTACAGCTGTAAGATTTGATTCTGTAGCTACTTGGAGTTTATAGATGGGAGGTTACAGCATTTGTTTACTTCATCAATTTTTAAACATGAACAGGAAGGATAAATACTAGGCATAATCACAAATTCTGCTCTCCTAATGCTATGGCAGTGTTGACATGGGATTTGTTCCTAAAAGAAGAAACTAATATTTCTTACATTGAAGACATTACAGCTGCAATGTTACTGTTAATGTAGTCTAAACAATCTCTAGGCAAATTCTTTGATGCTCAGTGGCATAGTAAAAGTGCCAGGTACATATTCCCAAGTACAAATTCATGGAAAGAAGTGTTTTGGGATCTCTGCTTTGACAGTGATGCTTAACGATAAAACAAAATTAAGATTAGCAACAGTAGATTAAAACAGCATTTGAATAATGAAAAACAAAAATAACAGAATAAGAATATTTTTTATGTCGTTTTTTACTAAGCCTACATGTGTTTTATTATCTCAAGTTGCATATTTGTTTAGATGAACAAATTCTAACACATGAAAAATTGAAAAAAAAAAGATGAAAAGTTAAATTGTAACATAAATGTACTCCATGCATTTGGACAGAAGTAAACTAACATTGCCAGTAATCACCCATGGTTGGTGGGGTTTTTTTCAAAATACCTATTGAGTCACTTTAGACTCAGCAGTAGTACACACACACACAAAATAATTCTTTTATCTGCTCCTAATAAAGCATTTAAATTTTAAAACTTACGCTTCATTTTTTCTTTTTCTACGTTCTCTGATATGCTGTCTACTTAGAGGACTGAATGAGCAAGTTTTTGTCCTAGATAAGGGTCAGCTTTCCCTGAATAAAATTATCTTACTATTACATGCAATGATAAAAGCCTAATATTCTCAGTTTAACAACTTTTGTGTAATTATCTCTTCTGGATACAACACTGAGTCAGTTACCATTTCGTAGTCATAACATGCTAATTATGAAG